ATTTCAGCAGCTCCCATGGATTTAGTTACCATCTTTCTACACTGATCTCCAATCTCACATTCCAACTGCCTTTCAGACAACTAAAATCGGGTGTCCAACAAACATTTTAAATTAAACATACCCAAAAGTGAACTCATTACTTTTCCTCCTAGGTATTCCTCTCCTTCCTACTCTATTACTGTAGAGGGCAACACCATTCTCCCAGTCCCTTAGGCTCCCAAACTAGGGAGCCTAATCCTTGACTACTCATCTCTCACTTCTCCACTTCTCAAATCCAATCCGTTGCCAAGGCCTGTCAACATCTCTCCAATACACCATCATTCTCTTCTCTGACACTGCCAACACTCTTCTCTGACACCCTTATAACCCCATATCTGGACAGTGATAGCCTGCTGATGGGTCTGCCTGCCTCAGGTCTCTTCTCCAATTCATCATCCATTCAGCCACTAAAGTGTTTTTCCTCAAGTGCAGGTCCAATCATGTCACCCCCTTTACTCAATAAACTCCAACAGCTCCCCTATTGTTTCCACGTACTCTTTCATCAAGTGATATCGGCCTCCTGGCTGTTGTATGAACAAGGTACTCCATCTCTTGGCTCTGGACATTTTCTCAGGCTGTCCTTTAACCCTTTCTCCCTCCTCATCTCCACCTCCTGGCTTCCTTCAAGCTCCAATTAAAATTCATTTTTCTACAAAAAGCCTTTCTTAACCCCTCTTAATTCTAGTGCCCTCCTTCTTCTAATTATTTTCTATTTATTATACATATATGTGTGTATATATAGCTTGTTTGGCGCTTGCTGTTTGTACTTCATTCCAGAAGAGGACCATGACATCAGGGAGGTGGTGCCTTGACATGCAAGTGAACTGAATTTAAGTGAGGGAGTGCTGTGCAAAGTCACCATCTTCACTTTCACCTCTGCAGCCATCTGGGTTCAGTGGCCAGATATGGATCAGGACAACTGAAGATGGCCCAGGATGCAGTGGGGGACCTTGGCCTTTTCAAGCTAAGGCCTTTAACAGGTCTCAGTTTGACTGAGGCAGTGCCCATTCAGTGATTAAGGCTTAATGAAAAATGAGGCAAAGAATGGCCTCTTAAAAAAAAAAAATAGATCTGGGAGGAGAAGACTCTGATCCAAAGAGTTACCTAATTTGTAGTTTATCATGTACATCTTTTAAAACTCTGAAAAGTTATATATAAATAAACTGATAGGCCACAATGTGCTGTACCTATTTTTAATGTAGTCAGTACTGTAGCTTCAAATAGGTCCCATCATTATACTTAGCTGAGGGTGAGGGCTGGTTTTCCCTCAGGTCCTTAGTCTATGTCTTTATGTAATATTTTAATATAAAGGGCTGAGTTTCTTCTCAAATTGATTTTACTAGTGTTCCTTATACAAATATGCTTTTTCCTTATCCTTTCAACAATTAAAATGTCCATAAAACAAAAGGAAAGTAACTTTTACTCTGCCTACCACTGAACATTGGCAGACCACTGCAAATTAAAAATTCAGTATAGGAGACAAACAAACAACACACACACACACACACACACACACACACACACACCCCCAAGTCAAAATATAATGAAGATATTTTATATTGGATCAATACAAGATAAAATTTTCTCATTCACGACACTGAATATATAAAGATATATAAAAATACTTCATATAGGCAAAAAAATTCTTATTGATGAAAACCATTATATATAAGAAAAACTAAACGTTCTTATTCATTAACATCTATATGGCACACAAAGAACAAAATGAAGAAGTCAATGTAGTTATCAAAATATATATTATCAATATATGAAGAGCATTACAAAAAGCATACATATTAACATTTTATAAACAGTAAAGAAAAAAAAAGCAAACCCAAATTTGAATAACAATGAATTCTATAAAAAAGTGAAATGTAGTTGTTTATATTACATATATACATCACACAATTCTTTTTTTGGTTACATGAATAATTATCTCTCTTGTTTCACCTGGTACACTGGATATAAACCTATAACTATCAGTTTAATAGTTTTGACATTCTAAACCTACATTTTGAAATTCTAGATTATTAGTTATTGTAGAAATAACTGTGTTTGTAACCAGCTCAGCTGGCTATTATAGTCTCCAAAGGGTGCACTGTGTTCCCTACCTAATGCTATACTGTGAAGGAAACATTTGGAGTAGATTTAATTCTCTCATCATCTGAATTGGTCTCCTGTGAAAGAGAAAAATGTGATGGAACTATCAATGGAATAGCATGGCGGAGAAAACAAGGAGAAAGAGATGGGGAACAATATGCAATTGCCTTCTCATCATCTAAACTGGAATCCTCTTCAGTTCAAGGTATACTTTTGGGGTTTTTGAAAGCAACACCATTTTAATTGGTTCTATATGTTGACTTTTGGAACAAGCTGAGTATCTACAGTCTTAGGGTGCTCCTTCAATGTATCAATTTCCTATGTTGTAGCCAAAGGATTTCTAGTTACTTTTACCCTTTTATACACACCATTTTGTAATTTTCTCTTCAACTGAGATCTCACACAACTATCTGTAAGCTTTCTGGTCAGGGGATTACATGATATACAATTTTTGTACTAAGCACAATTCTAAAAGATGAGTCTTTAAGATTTTCTAATAATTTACTTAGTTTTTTCCTGCTTTGGGTATTTGCCAGTGTTGTGAAGTTTGAGTTATATTACAGTCCAAATATTCCATGTTTCTTCTCCAGGAATGGACAAGGATCCTTCTCTAAGAAAAGTCCTGATCTAAGTCTATGACTCCATTGTAATGCAATATATGCTAGAGTGGGAAAATCTAACAGTGTCTATAAATTATTTGTGGTATTTCAAAGAGATTTTTATTTCAAGTTAACTCAAAGAATTTATCTATAGATAATACCTCACAAAAGACAACATTTTAAATCTATTAAATATCCTCTCATTCTCTCTGAAAGGTATAGTTATTTTTTGAAACTCCAATCCTATTAGGAATTTTGGAGGTGTCTACGTCATCAAGTAGTTTATAGAAAACAGATGTGGTTTTATTTTTCTCCCTCATATCTCTTAGTACTGCACATTCCCTGTATTTCCAATAGCATTTTATAAAATATCCTCAATATCTTTATTGCTTAAGTCATATGGGATTCCCTTGATTGTAAGTCCTCTGTGTGGCTTTATCTTCATTGATAAGCATTTATCCTTTAGACACATTATATCATTATTATTCATATTAGCTTACATATTTAATAATAGAAGCAGTTATATTTGACTATATTTGACTATATTCAAATATTAAAATTATATTGCAGATAAAATGGTCTAAGTTGTAAAGGAAAAACAATAGAAAACTGTTTAAAAAAAAGTATCCCCAAATTTTTTCTAGTTGATTCCTGATAGACACTAGGGTTTCAAATAAATCCTAGCTAGATAATCTCTCCAGTAGGTCCCTGACAATGCAAAGGGCATCTGAGTAAATCCTTGATAAAGCTCTACAGTGTAGTTAAGCTGTTGTGCTGATATGGCACATGCAACCTCCTTTGCTCTGTTTGGTTTGGAGTCATCATTGCAACGTGTGCTCAGGCTGGTAGGTCTCTGGGAAGTGTGGTGGGAGGAGATTGGCTTTTAAAGTTAAGAGGAAGTGGCCACAGGAATGATTATGTCACTATCCCTCAACTCTCTCAGGATAGTATGGGCAATCCTGGGGTGTGGGGGATACCCTTCTACTACTTACCACCGTTGCTCCTAAGCCCCACCAGTGAGCTTCCCATTTACACAAATTCAGTAACCCTTGAGTCTTAAACATAAAACATTTATGAAACAAAAAGACAAAAGGGAGACTAATCCTGACATTTATTCAACTGAAGGGAAAAGCAACAATAATTAAAATACAACATTCTAAACAATAAAACTGATTCATGTTCTCTGATTGATGTACAGTAAGTAGACTAAGGAAAATGAACACATGCAGAAACCTGGAAAGAGGCATAAAAGTAGGGAAACACATATGTATGCACCTGAGAACGCTAGACAGAAGGATCTCAGTAAACTAGCCTCCTAATTGATCTGCCTTCCTATAGTCCTTGTCCCTTGTCACCTGCTAACGTGATTTTTCAAAAGTTTAAGACATTTCCCTACTTAATAAATTCCCTAATGCTACTAGGATTATAAATATAAACTTCTTTGTTCAGCATTTAATGACTTTTTGATAACTTGGACTTTCAAGGTTGATTTTATATTTCTACCTTTCTCACACTCTACAGGTCTTTCCTGATTCCTCCTAGCCCTCCTCACTGGCTGCTAATACCTTCTGCACAAAATTACCTTGTTTTTTATGTTGTATCGAGTGTGTGTGTGTGTGTGTGTGTGTGTGTGTGTGTATGTATAGCCTTCCCTGATGGAAAGAAAGCTGCTTCTAAGTAGGTAGTACTTTGTCCATTGTATTTGTATTGACAACAATTAGCACAGTGCCTAGCATACAGTAGGAACTAAATAAATGTTTATTTATTTACTGTATCCTAATTTGTTTCTTTGCAACTTGCTTACTCCTAGGTTGGTCCTTTGGAATAAAATTACATATTGAGAAATCAACCAGTAAAACTCAATGCTACACACTTGAGAGTTTGAAGGTCCTTATACTTTGGGCAGACATCTGAGTTTGAGCAGTTTTACTGCATAAATAATCTAATCATTAGTTAAATGGAAAATCTGTAAACCAAGAAAATCTCCATGCTAGTTAAACTTATGCATAACTATCTTATTATTACTATAAGACTTTGCCCTCATACTAACACAAAGTCCTGTATAGAGTAGGTACTTGATAAACATTTGCTGAATTGAATTATAAGGCCTAAGATCATGGGAATTCTTTCCATGTCCTCTAAAAATCATAGCACAGAACTTAATGTTTTGTTTTTATTTCTTTTTATAATGGTGGCTGAACTCATTTTAATTAGTTTAAAATTCACATTTTCAACCTATCATTCACTAACAGACACACTTACCTCAGGAATAGGATCAGAGAGAAGACTGTAGAGTTTCTCATGGGCACTGTCCCTTACACCACACCACCTTGCTGAATCAAAATTTTGCCAAATCCGCCCTAGGCAGATGGCTACCCATTGGCGCAACAAAGGGTGGGGGTCATTCAGTTGCTCCAGACAAATGGCAATCAGGTTGCCTTGAAGACAGGCTTCCTAGAAAAAGACAAAATAATAATACCCTGCTTACATAGGAAAAATTAAGGAGGTGCCTTACATGATTTATACAACATCAAGGTTTCCCTATTACTGAAACCTTGGCTAATAAAGCTTCAAAGGTCTATTGTTTAGATCTTACTTTAATCATGATATTTGAGGTAACAATCTCCATATTTTAAATAAAGAGAAAGGAACAGGGTTCTATAAAGTTCTCTACCTTTCCTTCCATGTCTAGTATTACTCCTCTATAATTCCAACACATTTTTGAGTTTGTGACTCTATTTTATTTAATGTCAGAGCAACAGTTTTATCTGATCACAAAATAAGATCTAGTATCATGACTCTTTTTCTGCTTGTGGACCATAAAACCTATTTTGAAATGATTCTGGACCTCACCTGAAGCTAATCCCTTCCTTCTCAGACGATCTTCCATTTAAACCAGATATATCTTGCAGATACATAATTATTTGCACATTGTCTTTCTTGTTAGAATGTGAGCTCCATGAAAGCAGAGACTATATTTTTGTGTTTCTTTGTACCCCTACTGTTTAGCACAGTTCATATTAACTGCTTAACAAACGCCTGAACACTAGAATCATTTGACAGAGTGAACCAAACCATGTAGCAAATGAATTCACTAAACATGATTCTTGGGGCAGCTAGGTGCCGCAGTGGTAGGGCACTGGTCCTGTAGTCAGGAGGACCTGAGTTCAAATCCGGCCTCAGACACATAACACTTACTAGCTGTGTGACCCTGGGCAAGTCACTTAACCCCAATTGCCTCACCAAAAAAAAAAAACCAAAAACCCAAAAACAAAAACAAAACTAAACATGATTTTTAAAAACCTATAGTAAGTATGGTGCTGAACAAAGTGATGGACCACAGAGGTGGCTGGAAGAAGTAGGCTAGACATACTCACCTGTCCTGTATTATAGCTGTTGACAATCACAGCCAGAATGAAAGCTGTCATGGTCCTATGTTCAGCCTGAATGAAAAATGAGACATTCATTTTTAGTCATACATCTGTTTCCTTCTGGGTTTAAAATTCTACCACTTCTATGGCTGACCAAAGCCATATTTTCAAAACTTTTATGATAGTTATGCTTTTTGGTCTACTCGAAAAACAAAACAAATCCAGACTCTTTAAATAAAGGTGACAGCATTATGAGAATTAACTTCATTTCCAAAAGAAGAAAAGTTGTCTCTCAGAAAGACTAATAACACAGAAGAATAAGGAAGCTGATATGATAAAAAAAAAATTGGTTAATTATGAGATATACCAGGTCTTTTCTTCCTGTCCCATTTTATATCAGTATGCTCTCACACTTGGCTATGTTGGTCCTAAAATGTATAATTAGCATTCTCTTTCCATTCCTTTTATATGAATTCTAATGTGCTGAGAAATCAGGGTAATAATTATTTACAAAGATAAATTAAGAATATAGTGATGTTGTTTATAAATTTTAACTATATATGATATTTTTAAAAATTGAGATTAAAGTATACAAGTAATTGTTCTCAAAAAACGTATTTATAATACTTTCTTTCTTTTCCTTGGGAACCTACGTTAGGAGGCCAACAGTACAAGTGCCTCTATTATCTAGAATGGTTACAGGAATGGAGGGTTCTGGCTAATCAAATATTCTAGTTCAACTAAATAAAATTCAACAAGTATTAGATTAAGTATCTACTATATACTCAAAATTGTACTAAGAGTTTCAGGAGACATGAAAATATTATAAAACATGGTTAATAGTTACCATATATCTCACACATGAATGATCAATTTTCAAAGAATCTAAATAAAATACATTTGAAAATAAAACTTAAACTGAATACAGTTCAATGTTTTGTGATGACTCAGGGGATATTTCATGAAATAAAATGATCACTCTAAATGGAAATTGTCATTTTTTGTAGATGTGCAGCTGGTTAATAGAGTTCTGTTGATAAAATCCTAGATGAATCACCTTTTCCTGTATTTCAATGAAAATGCCAGTGAGAACAGATGTTTTTTAAGGAACTCATTTGTCCCATTTAAAAGCAGGGATGAAAAAGTCACTGGCAGAACATAATATTAAGTAAAGAGTGCTGTTTAAAATTCAAGGGGATGCAAAGACAGGAGCTTGGATTTCCTGTAGTTGGGTATGAAACCAGCCAGAATTTTTCCTTTGATGAATGAGGGTCTTGAGGTCTGTAGTCCTCATAAAAACAGATACTGCAATTGTGTAACATATAGTCAGAGATAAATCACACCAATTCTTGAGAACATCTGAAAGAGAAATGATGTTTGTCCTTACTGGCATGTAAGGGTCCGCCAAGACAGAAAGGAAATATTTGTGACCGTTGTCCTTCACGAGATCAGCTTGGCATGACTGGGGAGAAAAAAGAAAGAAAGAAGGGAAAACAGTGAGCATAGTTACCTGAAGGGAATTTTTTTCTGCCTCTTATGATATATGAACGAATGAATGCACCATGAATATTTTATGGCTTAATCATTTTCTCCCCTCAAGCCCAATTTTCATTTGAAAAAACAGTGAGTTGTTGCTTGCAGAGAAATTCTCTGTGGCTATGGATAAGTTGCTAGGCTCTTATGTGTTCTCAGAACTGAAATGGCCCTGTGTTATATTCTCTGAAAAAAATATGATCTATATAGTGGAAATGAGCAAAGGCATAACAAGTTATTGGGAACAGCCCAGTGATTTGATGACAATTTAGAGATGGCCTATAGGCAAAGAATATCTTTAAAAAACACTCCTACTTCCTACACAATCAATCAATCAATCAACAAGCATTTATTAAGAGCTTACTAAGTGCCAGGCATTGTGCTAAAACTGGAAGATACAAAGAGAAGCAAAAATACTGTCCTGGCCCTCACGGAGCTCACATTCTAATGAAGGAGACTACATGCAAATAACAATGTTCACACAAGATATCTAGTGTAAATGGGAGGCGATTCCAAAGGGACTGGGGGGAGGGGAAAAGAGGAGGGATCTGGAAAGGCCTCTGGTAGGATAGGGGATTTGAGCTGAGTCTTAAAGAAAGCCAAGAAACTCAAGTAGTAGAGGTTGGAGAGAGCATTCTAGGGATGGGGAGCGCAGACTTAGGAGATGATATATATAATGTGAAAGGAACAGCAAGAAAAGACCAGTGTTAATTGATCTAAGAATATGTGGAGGGGAGTAGAGTAGAAGACTGAAAAAGTTAGGAAGAGGCCAGGTTGTAAAGGGCTTTAAAAGTCAAAGAGAGTAGGCCAATAAGCCCCAAAGAGAACAAAGAAAAAATGAAAGGTGTTATGTGAAAAAAAAAAACAACAACAAAAAACTTATTGCCACTATTTTTGTGGTGACAAGGAACTGGAAACTAAGATGGGGCAATCAATTGAAGAAAGACTAAACAAATAATGCCATATGAATGTAATACAACACCACTGGGCTATAAAAAACAATGAAGGGTCCAGTTTCAGAGAAAGAGGGGAAGACTTTAATGAACTGATGCACAGTACAGTGAGCAGAACCATGAGAAAAAAATTATACTATAAGAACAACATTCTAAAAACCAACAACTTTGCAAGACTTAAGAACTCTGATTAATACAATGATCAAATATGATTCCAGAGGACTGATGATGAAGAAAGTTACACAGTTCCTGATAGAAAGTTAACCAACTAATCCAATTCAATTGAATAAACATTTATATAATATTTATATAATTATAAAACTACATACGCAGAACGAGACACACCTTTCTGGACATTGCCAATATAGAATTTTTATTTTATTTTTTTTCTTGACTCTGTTATTTGTTACAAGGGTTTCAGATTTTTTTTGAGGGAGGGAGAGGGGAGAGAGAGGAGCTGGCAGAAAATGAGAGGGAGAGAAAAAAAAATGTTTGTTAATTGAAAAAAAAATTTTAAAGTCCAACAGAAGATTTTATATTTTAGAGTGGAGGTAACTGGAAATCACTGTAGTTTATGGAAGAGATGAGGTAACAAGGCCAGACCTGTGCTTTAAGATCACTTTGGCAGGTGATTAGAAGATGTATTGGAGTAGGAAGAGAACTGAGGAAGGAAGACCAACTGGATGGCTATTGCAATAGCCAAGGAGAGAGGAAATCAATGAGAGACTCTATCAGGTAGGTGGGTGGCTGTGCAATTTTTCAGATTTTCTCTATCTTTTAAGAACACAGGACCCCAGGCTTCTCAATTTTGGTCCCTACTCTCCCTTCCTAAAATTGTTCAATGTTTTGTTCTCTCCTAATCATAGACAGTCTACTTGCTAGTTCAATAAACTAATATACATAGATAGATGGCATTTAAATTTTCCCCCCTTTTTTCTCATGAACTTGACACAAATGACAACAAACATGATCATTTCCACAAAGAACAGAAAAAGAGAATGATTTATGATATTGTAAATCTTTATTGAATATATCCTTTTTAAAAAGTATATAATAAATTGAACACAGAAGTCACAAAACCATCCTGATTAACTGCCACTCTTGTTCTCTACAATGTATATTTTTTAAAAAATTAGTTTTCACTGTTGGTCTTTTAGTTTTTTAAAAAATAAATTTTTATTGATATTTTCTATTTCTTCTATCACCTTATTATCTCTAGTATCTCTCCCTGCTATAAATATTTTTGTACTTATGAGGTCCTTTGATTGTTTCTTTGAATTTCTGGGATATGTGCCTAATCGTGGTATGAGGCAGGTGCTATTATTAACCTGTTTTAGAGATGAGGAAACAGAAACTGAGAAGATGAATGATTTGCCTAAGGTCATAAAAGCAGTAAATGTTTATAGAAGCATCTGAACTTGGGTCTTCCTACCCCAAAGTCTAACATTACATACACTATTCCACCAAATGCATTTTACAGGTGTTAAGGAAAATTGGGTTTACACATTGTGCCGAAATCTCTCCTGCAGAGAGGTATATATGATGTGACTTATACAGGATTATAGGAATCTATTCCTGAATCCTAAGAATAAAATGCAAAACAGTGATTTTTCTACATGTTGTCTACATATCTAAAAGTACACACTAATATCATCCTTGCATTAAAATGTATCTAGTTCTATAAAACCACAGCAAGAAATTATTGATCCTGATTGTAGAAACTTTTGTTTAGGTATGATCCAAGGTTATTCATTTCATTTTCCTAAATTTACAATGTCTGGTATACATATTCTTGTGGCTCATCCCTAAAAACTTTTTTTTGGGGAATAGATGATAGGTTTTGAAGTCATTCAGCTATCAGTGTGAGTACATTATATGTGGATTGAAATATATACAATCTGGTGTTTTACCTGGACTCTTACATATCAAAGACCCCAGAAATCAACAAGCATTTATGAAATACTTATTATGTGCCAAGTAATATGCTGAATATTGAGGATACAGAGTCATTAAAAACAAAAAAACCCAGTCTCTGTTCTCAAGAAGCTTACAGACTAATGGGTAAGACAACATGCAAGTAAGTATGTACAAACAAGATACTTAAAGGATAAATTAGGAGTAATCCCAGAGGAAAAGCATTAAAATGAAGGAGGACTAGGAAATCTTCTTGTAAAAGGTGAGATGTAGCTGAGACTTGAATGGTGCCAGCGAAGCCAGAAGGGAATGATTAGGTAAGAGAGAGTTCCAACTATGGGAGATAGCAAGTAAAAATGTCCAGAGACAGGAGATGGAGTTAAAAATAACATTGATGATCCTCTCCTATGTGACCCTAAAGCTATTGTGTTTACAATGTGGGCTCTGAAAAACTTATCAAGAACAATAAATTGTCATTAGTTAAGACCTTATAAATTCTGAATAGGATACAATTAGTCAGGATTTTCCGACAGAGAAAAAAGTTAAATGAATGTCTTTAAATTTTTCACATCTTGTTTATGTGTGGACACTTTACTTTTTCAAATCAAGGGCTCCTTCAACATGTCCTTCAACATGTCTTCAGGTTCTAGGTCAAATTCTTAGAACTAAAGACTTAGAGCTGGCAGGGATGTTGGAGATGATCTAGTAGAACATCTTCATATTATATTTAAGGAAACTGAGGACCCTGGCCAAAGTTTTATAGGCAACTGGGATTTGAACCTATATCCTTTGACTTCAAATCCATCTTTCTTCTACTGTATCTTACAGCTGTCAATTTGATTTTAAAGGATTTTTATGTAGATGATAAGGTTGTGAGGACAAATAGGTTTACTTTGAAGTACTATTTGTTATTAATTTATTTGCACTTGAATGACCAGGTATATATTTTTATCTTGGTTTGTCACTCACTGTAATTGAAAATAACAACAGTGCTAGTTCAAAAATATTATATAATTCATACTTCTAAGTCACAATACCCTCCTGTCCTTTATTCTAAAGTAGTGAAATAATTTCACTAAATTAATGAAATACTGTTACACTATATTTTGGACAAATATCAACTGTTAATCATTTTTTTTCATGCTAAGTAATAATGGTATGGAAAAAGCACTAAACAGCATGTTTTGCTCTGACTCCTTTATTAAAAAGCACCATATCCTTACCTCTACCTATGATACCTGCCTATTAGGAAAAGAAAACAAACCTTCAAATGAAAACAAAAACAAAAACAAAAACACTCAACTAGCATCTGACATACTTTGCAAAACACTGGGTTCACTAGAGACTTAGGAGTTCAGAATAAATGAAGCAAAAAAGCCTAGCAGTTAAGAAATCTCCAAAGAAACCTTTTTTTTCCCTCAAGGTTCTGTTTTTGCCAGATCAAGATTTAGGCATGACATAATAAGGTCACAGTAGAAGAGAGAGAACAGAAGAGAGAAAAGAGAGAATCTGATTATGAATGCATATATTACTTTTTTCCTAAACAAAAAGCCAAAAAAAAAACCCAAAACCCCAAAAACCAAAACCCTCTCACTTGGGTTTCATCTCCACTGGCAGCTCTGATTCTTCTCTGTGCCTTGACACTTAAGGGAATCACATTTTTTAAAAAATCAGAAATGGGGTTGGGGTTGGGCTGGGAATGAAGAAAGGCAAACTACTGAGAGGAGGGTGCTACAAAGGAAGATGAGGGAAAATATTTTAGTATTCAAGCAGCTAATGACACAATTTGCAAGTAGACTAGATACCAAGGCAATGGAATTGAGGCCAAGTGAAAATTGTGAAAGTTTGAAGAGCCTTTTCGTTCTGCTATTAACATAAAAAATAAAATCTACTACTTGGGCAAAAAAACCAAACCAAAACAAACAAACAAAAAAACAACTAAAGCTAAGGGAATACTTAAATCACTTGCAGGTTATTTAACATCAAGGTGATACAACCTTCCCAACCCTTCATAACTTATCCTCCCCCTGCCCAGCCTTTCCAGTCTTCTTTACAATAGTGA